ACTAGTCAGTACTTATTCTACAGCACCACACCAGGACAAAAGATGAAAACAATACCATCAGCCGTGTACAGAGCTAGGAGAAAATGCTGAAAAAACAGTAACTTCACATGTTGATATTTTGCTTATCAACCTCAAGGTCAGCAGTTTGAAACTACTAGCCATTCTGTGGGAGGTTTTTTGCTCCCATAAAGATATATAGCTTCGGAAACCTTAAGCAGGGTCACTATGAGTCGGAACCTACTCCACGGCACACCACCACCACCACCACCATTCGGGGTCTCATTCGTATAAAGCTGAGGACTAGTTTTTCTATTTCTGTGACGAAGACTGCTGGAATTTTGACTGGGATTACACTGAATCTATAGATCCCTTTGAGAAGTTTTGACATCTTAACAATATTCAGTCTCCCAATCCATTATGCATGGAATATCTTTCCATTTATCTCAGTCTTCTTTAATCTCCTTCAGCAGTGTTTTATAGTTTTCATTGTATTATATCCTTTATGATACCTAGGAATTTTATTCTTACATCCTATTGTAAATGAAATGTGATCAAGTCAATTTCAACTCATAGTGACCCTGTCTGTATAGGGTTTCCCAGGAGCAACTGATCCTACAGTGCCACACATTTGTAAATGGACTACTTTCCCTTTTAGATTTGTCATTGCTGGTGTACAGAAATCCAAATGATTTTTGGTTTTGGCCTGTACCCTGCAACTTTGCTAGGTTTCTCAACGAAAAAAACAAGTTATAAAGAACTAAGTTTATTAGTAGTTACCAGGGACAGGAGGAGTAAAAGTAAGTTTCACAGAGATGGAAGTATATTAAGGGTAGTGTTGCACAGTTGATTCTATAAATTACTAATAAGGTACACACCCGTAAAAAGCTGAATTAGAAAAAGTTGTGTAATAGATATGTTTGCCCCCCAAAAAAGAAAACTAGTTAAAAAAAGAAAGTCATTGCTGAGACTACTTATGTACAGTCAAAAACCTCATGGGATTTCGTTTCTTTGTTTGTAGGCTTAGGGTCATGGCTTCATGGCGAATCCCAGTTAATTGGCCTAATAACATATTTAGTTAATTAGCCTGTGTTCTAACCTCCTAGTTAGATGGAATGTCTAGGGTTTTAGAAGCTTGCAAGCAGGTATTCAAGACACAACAAATGGTCTCTCTCTATTCACCTGGAACAACAAAGGAAGGAGAGTCAGGAATAAAAGGGGGAAATGGAATGTGTGGCTAATTGTTTGTCTCTGTGAAAAACTGCCTCCTTTACCAAGTGATCAGAACTGGATGTTGCTCATTTTGATCAAAGTTTTCATAAAAAAATGCTGATCAAAAGGGTGAAGATGCAGTACAGAATGCCGAATTCTTATGGACTCCAGACTACCTGGGGCTATGAAATTTGAATGAGCCCTTGTAACTACTGCCCTTAAACCTTAAACTAAAAATACTCCCTGACATCATCTTAAAACCAAACAAAAGTTAAGCTTAACTAGTAAAAAAATACCTACCTTAGTATGCTCTTATAAGACCTATCTATCTGGAATCAAACTAACAACAGCAACTCAAAACATAGGAGCCAGGCTGTTAAGTCAGTTCAAACTTATAGCGACCCTGTATAGGGTTTCTGAAAAGTGGCTGGTGGGTGGGTTTGAATCGCCAACCTTGCGATTAGCATTTCAAGCGCTTATCCTACAGTGTCACACCAGAACTACAGATAGGAACCACTTCCATCTTTGCACCCCTACAAACAACTCTTTACACAACAGCCAGAATGATCTAAAATGCCAATCAACATGTCATCATTTCCCTTTTTCCTATCCCATATCACATTATCACATTTTAAGAGTTAAAACTCTAAATTTTTACTCTGGTTTACAAAACCCTATCTAATCTGACCACCGCCTATCCCTTTGGCCTCATCTCCTACACTCTTCTCTTACTGTCTGTATAGTACCTACACTGATCTTTTCTGTTCCTAAAATAGTCAACATTTTCCAGCTTTACAATTTTTGCAATTTGTTCTTTCATCAACCAAAAATATTCTTCTCTCTGATAGCCTTATGGTTCATTCCATCTTCTTACTAAGCCCTCAAATTAAATGTCACTTCCTAAGGGTGGCTTTCTCTAACGACCCAGTGGAAAGTAGCCTTCCAGTCACACTCCTGGACAGACTATTTTAATTTCCTACAAGGCATGTATCACAAACTGATATATCCCATTTACTTATATAACTTCCCCCCACTAGAATACAAGCTTTATGACAGCAGTGAACCTATCTTGGTGCTAGATTCACTGTCTTATGCCCAAGGCTTAGACTAAAACAAAAAAAGTCAAACCTACGGTGCTGAGTCAATTCCAACTTCTGGAGATCTTGTAAGAGGGTCAAAACAGAGCTGGAATTCTCTTCAGCCAACAGACAAGCAGTTGATACTCCTTCCATTTAGTTATGAGGAGTTGACATTTGGTGCTGTAGGATGAGTACTTGATTGCTAACAGAAACGTCGGCAGTTCAAACCCACCAGCTGCTCAGGAAAAAGACGAAGCCTTCTGCTTTTACAAAGATTTACAGCCTCAGAAATACTATATAGGCTCACTGGCAGTTAAGTTTGCTTTGGTTTTGACATTCCTTCCAGCTAACAGCAGGGGGCTAGAGCATCACCCCCATCCCTAATCCCTGTGCATGAGAATATCTCAATAATGTTGTGAAGTGCCATTGAGTCCATTCCCACTCATAGCAACCCTGTATAGGTATTCTGAGGAGCAGCTGGTGGGTCTGAACTACTGACCTTGTGGTTCAGGGTCCAGTGCTGATGTTACAGCGCCAAAACAAGAGTGTAAAGCTCAATAATATATGTGTAACTTAGGATGAACATGTGCAATTGCCCTCCTTCCTCTTCACTTAAAAAAAATCCTATAAATTGCCACAGAGGCAGGCAGGGAGCTAGGTTGGGAGGAAATACCTCTGAGCTCCTAGTTGTTGACTTGTGAACAAACATGGCTTTCACTTTCTCAAAGATCACTTTCTCTTGAGCCCACTCACAACTGCAGTGTTTCAGAGCAGCCCTTTGTTTCGTAGGTCTTTCAATGGCTGGAATCTTAGGAAAGTAGTTCATCAGGCCTTTCTTCCATAGCACAATTAGGTATATCTGAAACACCAGTCTTTCAGTTAGTGGTTGAGCACAAGTCATTTGCACCACCCAGGGACTTTCAGGCTTAGGATTTTGTTGTTGTTAGGTACTGTTTAGTGGTTCTGACTCAGAGTGACACTATGCACAACAGAATGAACCACTGTCAGGCTTAGGATATTATCTGGCTTATAGCAAGCGCTCAATAAATACTTATAATAAATCTACTTTTCCTAAGGAAGTTCTGGTGTGGTGCTGGGGGATAATGCTCAGGACCACAGGTCAGCAGTTCAAATTAACCAGCTGCTCCTAAGAAACACTATACAAGGTCGCAATGAGTCAGAACCAACTCAATGGCACCTAACAACAACTCTTCCTATGAGAACACTACTATATGTAGTTCTGATTTTATTAAAGTCCTGCACTGTAAAGGAGCTCTGGTAGCGTAGTGGTTACGAATCAGGCTGCTAATCTCATAGTCAGCAGTTTGAAACTACCAGCTGTTCTGTGGGAGAAAGATGAGGCTGTCTGCTCCCGTATAGATTTACAGCCTCAGAAACCCTATACAGGGTTGCTATGAGTCGCAACCAACTCCATGGCATATAACAACAACAACAATGGCACTGTAAGCAAAGCAGTGGACTGCTAACTACAAGGTCAGCAATTCAAACCTATCAGCTGCTCCTAGGAAAACCTACCCAGGGTTACTATGAGGCAGAACTGACTCAACAGCACTTAACAACAACAAAATAACACAATTTCATCTTTTTATAAATACATCCATTGAAAAAATTCAATTTGTCTAACTTAATGGGAGAGCAACAAATTCAAACAAAATAACACCAATAATTTTTTAGGTATTCCAAATCAGGGAATTGTAAAAAATAACCAATATAGCTATAAGGTTTACATAACTATAGCAAATAAATATAAAGTTCTGTTTTGCAGACACTCATTTAAAAGGATCAGCACTGGACTATGAACCAGAAGGTAAGCAGTTCAAACCCACCAGCAGCTCCTCAAAAACCCTATACAGGGTCACTGACTCAGAACCAACTCGACAGCACTTAACAACAACAGGTTTTAAAAAACAAAACAAAAATCTTTTAAAAGTTTTACCTGCATTGTGAGGGAGAACTCCAAAATGTCTATAAACAAATTGTAGTTTATTAGTATACCTCCATTACATACTATTAATACTAAGCAATAAAAAAGGGATGCACTATCATTCATACAACATGAATCTCAAATACCTATGCTCAGTGAAAGAAATCATACAAAGAATACATACTATATTACTCCCCATTTATATAACAGAAAGCAGATCACTGGTTGCCTGGGATGAGAGTGGCAGGAAGGGCAAGAAGAAACTAAGTGTAGTTTATTATGTCAATTGTGTTTTAATAAAGCGATTTAAAAAACCACACCTTTTATTGTGAATTGAGTGAAGGTTTACAGAGCAGATCATCAGTTTTACACTCAATACATCAGACACTTTATTTCAATGATTGCAATCTTCTCTCTATAACACCAATTATCCCACTTCTTCCCTGTGATTCTTGTTTTTAAAGATATATTTTAAAAGGTCAAATCAGGTCACTCCCTTGCTTAAAACCTTCCAATAGCTCCTCATAAAAAATAAATAAATAAAAATGTACCAGTTTTATCAGCATTGTCAGGAAGGTAACATTTAAATTTAAATGTCATAAATAGCAAACTAAAGTTAAAAGGTGATTTACGTAGGCTACTGAAAGCCAAAGATGTATTTCAATAGATTTTAATTAACTTCATTAGCAAAAATGTAAATAATAAATTCATAAAAATTTAAACTTTTACATCAAAAAGCTAAAAATGTGGTAACTCTCACAATTTACCTGTAGAAGGTGGTGACTTCTCTGAGTGTTTTGCATTTAAAAGCTTTCTGCTAATAAATATGTAACCACAGGGACATGATTTACATGCAACCGGAACCTGTAAAAAAAGAAAAAAAGCATAATTACTATTTCTCCAGTATTAAACCTCTCAGTGTTTATATGATCTCAACTGCAGTGACAGCCTACGTGAAGTATTCAAACTCTTACCTCCTTACAACTATCAGAGCTGGGTATCATGTCCTATATTAGCTCTGGTAGCGTAGTGATTGCGAGACGGGCTGCTAACCTCAAGGTCAACAGTTCGAAACTGCCAATCTTTCTGTGGGCGAAAGACGAGGCTTTCTGCTCTTGTAAAGATTCACTGCCTCGGAAACCGTATACAGGCTCGCTATGAGTTGGAACCGACTCTGTGGCACACCACCACCACTACCATCACTACCTTCACACTTCCCTTGTTCTTAGTAATACAAGGGGGCTTTAAAAAGTTCATGGAAAAATGGAATGAAAAGATAATGCAGTTTTTCTCCAAACCTTCTGAAGACCCCCTATTATGTGCTGACACAGTGACCAATCAATCTACCCATTGTTGTTACACGTCAATTTCAACTCACAGCAATTTACAGGACAAAGTAGAACTGATCCATTGGGTTTCCAAGGCAGTAAACTTTATGTAAGCCGACAGCCATCTCTTTTTTGTGTGAATTGGCTAGTGGGTACAAATCACTGACCAATACTTAAGAATGACCAAAAAAAAACCATGACAGAAAGTCAGGAAAAGAATATGAAAAAAAAACAAAGCAACAACCTTTCCTAAAATGTTAGTTTCATAGTTGTTTATGGTATAGAACAAACTGGAAAAGGATAATTGGTTAGGAAGTCATTAATATATTCCCAGCATAAGGGTCCAACTGGAATAGTGAGAATGGAAATGGAGAAAAGATAATTTGACACATTTCCAAGGGAAGAAAACAAGATATAAGCCCACATTGACTACTGGGAATAAAGTTGGATGAATTGAAGATAAGACTCTCAGTACTACTGACAGAAAAAGAGTAGTTTTACAACCATCGGGGGCTTAAGTATAGTACAACCAAAAAAAATCAAATCAAATCAAAGAATGGAGAAATTAATCTAGGTTCTTTTTAGTCTCAGTACCAGAAAGAACCTAAGACAAAACATTTGAGCTCTTCAGACATCTCTTTCCTCATCTATAAAATATTTACAGTTCCTTTCTCTTTTAAAAGAGCCCTGGTGGTGCAGTGGTTAAAAATGCTTGGCAACTAACATAAAGGTAGGCAGTTCAAACCAACCAGCAACATCATGGAAAAAAAGACCTGGTAATATGCTTCTATAAAGATTGCTGCTGTTGTTGAGAGCTGCTGGGTTGGTTCCAACTCATAGAGACCCTGAGAGGGTTTCCAGGAGTCCTGGTGTGGCGCTGTGGATTAATGTGCTGGACTGCAAAACTGGTTTGAACTGCAAGGTTTGCTGGTTCAAGCTCACCAGCTGCTCCTCAGAAACCCTATACAGGGTCACTATGGGTCAGAACTGACTCGGTGGCCCTTACCAACATAGGGTTTCCAAGGAGCAACTGGTGAGCTTGAACCACAGACCTTGTGGTTCAAACCGACCTTGCAGAACCCATTGTGCCACAGCAGGAGGCCTAAAAGGTTAACACCCTTGGAAACCCTATAGGAAGTTCTACTTTGAGCTACAGGGTCACTAGGAGTTGGAATCTGAGTTGATTCCAGTAATTTTTTTCATTTTTGACTTGGTTCTCTGTTTAAAGCAGGCTGCGAACCGCAAGGTCAGCAGTTCGAAGCTACCAACTGTTTCGCGGGAGAAAGATGAGGCGTTATGCTACCATAAAGATTTACAGCCTCGGAAACCCTGTACAGGGTCGCTATGAGTCAGAACCGACTCCACGGCACACAGCCACAGCCACATAAGCCCAAATATATATTTTTAAATGCAAATTTACTGAAAATCACTAGGCAAAATTTAAAGAAACTTTTCTCCATAATCATTTCACTAATATTAACCTCAATGATCCAAAGAATCAAGACATATTCACCAAAAGCCAAAATTTAATCTCAATAAAATAGTACTCAGAATAATTAGTCCGAAAATTATAGTTTTCTTGGTAAAATACATCCACTTGCCCATTGTTCTAATTTTGTAAAAGCTAACTTATAAAGCTTTTTATCCATGTATGTGCAGAATGCTTCATATTCTAGAATGCAATTACTTGGTCTAATTAACCTAATTGAAATTTTGGCAGAAGAGTTCTTTCCCTTTGCATAAAAATACTTCACAAAAGATTTCTAGTTTGTTTTTAAGAAAAAGAACAATGAATCTTATAAAAATCATTTAAATCCAGATAGGTCCATGCTTTTTACTAAGAATGTAATGTGGCTCCTTCCAACCATGACTGAAAATGTAATACTGACTATTTTTAATACTATAAAATATGCCCTAAATAGATTATGTAAATGTTTTGCTTTTTAATTTCACATTGCCATGCAGTAAATTGTTATTTAATGGTTCTTACAGACTCCTGGTGTGGCACTATGGGCTAATGCGTCAGACTGCAAAGTTGTTTGAACTGCAAGTTCAGTGGTTCAAGCTCACGAGCTGCTCCTTGGAAACCCTATACAGGGTCATTATGGGTCGGAATTGACTCGACAGCACTTAACAACAACAACAATGGCTCTTATAGCTGTATTGGAGTCCTGGTATGGTGCTGGGGGTTAATTGCATCAGACTGCAAAGCCATTTGAACTGTAAGGTCAGAGGTTCAAGCTCACCAGCTGCTCCTCGGAAACCCTATACAGGGTCGCTATGGATCAGAATTGACTAGATGGCACTCAACAACAACAACACAGCTATATTGTTAAATGCCACTGAGTTTGTCCTGACTCTTAGTGACCCTATATAGGGTTTCCAAAGGAGCGGCTGGTGGGTTTGAACTGTTGACTTTGTGGTTTGCAGTCTAGTGCTGATCCTACAGCACCACACCAGGAGTCCTACAGAGCCACAAATCCTTGGCTCTATGCTTGTAGAGTCACCTGTTAGGCGCTATTCAGTCAGTTCTGACTCATGGTGACCTATATAGCGTTTCCAAGGAGCGGCTAGTGGGTTTGAACTGCCAACCCTGGAGTTATGCTACAATACCACACCAGAACTACCATCACCTCACTAGAAGTCACCATCCTAACTTTCCTTGGGGGTGTGGTCTACATCCAATATATAGGAATGCTTCGACAAAATTCTTTCACTTGCTCTGGATCCTACATTTGGCTTGTTATCTGTCTTACTTCTGGTTCTTGCAACTTCAGCCAGTAGTCAAACATCTAACTTAATTCACCAGCTTCCACTTTGTGTACTGGCAGCCTGTCATCAGACCTGTCGATTTGGGTTGATGAGCTCCTGCAGCCACAGGGGTCAGGAGAGGTCTCCAGAATAATGCTTGAGCGATGCGTTTGGGATTTACCAGCCTCTTCAACCATGTGAACCATTTCCCCTGATGTCCCTGAAGCAGCAACCTGTCATCTGACCTGATTCCCCAGCTTCTGAAACTTTGTGACTCAGCAGACTGTCCTCTGATCTGTCAAACTGGATTTGTCATCACCTGTAACCATGTGAGTAAGAGGAATCCTTTAGACCTATGGATTTGGGACTTTCCAGCTTTCACAACCATGTGAGCCATTTTCCTTGATGATTCATGAATTCTAGGAGATACTGCAGCAAATTATAGAACCCTAAGACTGGAGGGGAGTCCTGGTGTGGTGTTGTGAGTTAATGTGCCAGACTGCAAGGCCAGCGGTTCAAGCTCACCAGCTGCTCCTCGGAAACCCTATACAGGGTTGCTATGGGTCGGAATCGACTTGAAGGCACTTAACAACAACAACAAGACAGGAGGGGGAGTCCTGGTGTGTCGCTGTGGGTTAATATGCTGGACTGCAAAGTCAGTTTGAACCCAAGGTTGGAGGTTCAAGCTCATCAGCGGTTCTTTGGAAACCCTGGACAGGGCTGCTATGGGTCAGAACTGACTGGACGGCACTTAACAACAACAAAGACTAGAAGGAGAGTACTGAGAGGGGGAGGTGCTGAAAGAAATGCAAGTGGTACCGTAGTTTAGAAAAGTTGGCCTTGGGGACATCTTCAGCCTCACCTCACAGAGAACAGCCTCACACTGATCATTCTAAAAGAAATTAGTCATGTGCACATCTTCATAGAAATTCAGCTCAAAAGTACTGACTCATTTCCTTTACACCTAAAACGCATCATTAAGGACATCCACAGCAATGTAAATTGTTCTAAAATTAATGCTGTCCAAAAAGCACTATGTTCATATTCATCAGTTCCTTTGTCACTCAGGAAGCATTTCCTTCCTGCTATTGAAACTCAATACTCATACATTTAAAATACTAAGTCTCTGTCTAATACACAAGAAAATTATAGCAAACCATATTCAGAGCTAACAAATAATGCTGAAGATGGAAAATGCTTATGTGGCTTTGGAATCCAGAATGCATAAACACTGATTAATTCAACTGACAAAGGAATTTTCATCCCTTAATTGAGTGTTTTCACCTCAAGAAACATTCAGGTGTCTAAGCTAATTCATTCTAGAGTTTGTTTTTAAAATGGAAAGCACTTCACCCTTTAGGGGCAAGGAAGAGTGAGAGACACATTCTTTTCTTATAGAAAGAACAATGACATAGGTTGAATCACTTTGGTAACATTAATCTTATTAAATTAATGTAATTTCCTATTTTAAACAAACATTCTAAAAATTCTTTCAAATTTCAGTTAATGATGCTGAAGATAGTAATGGGAGTTCCAATTTTACACTTTTAGAATTAAAAAAACAAAAACAAAGTATTTGTTACTAATGTTTTATTATGCACACTATATCAATTTGGGAGTCCTCGTGTGGCTCTGCAGGCTAAACAACTGGACCATGACATTGGTTTGAACCATAAGGTCTGAGGTTCAAATTCACCAGCTGCTCCTTGGAAATCCTATACAGAGTCACTATGAGTCAAACTCACTCAATGGCCCTTAACAACAATACCTATGTCTATGCATAAAAATGCTCTCTTAAGAAAAATTTGGAGTCCTGGTGTGGTGGTGTAGGATAAGCACTCAACTCAAGGTCTGTTTGAACTGCAAGGTCAGTGGGTCTAACTTACCAGCCACTCCTTGGAAGCCCTATATAGGGTCGCTATGAGTTGGAACTGACTCAGTGGCACACCACAACAACAAGAGACATTTAAGACAAAGTCAGAACACAAAAGATACCCAAAACTGACAAGAATTTGAATACTACTTACTATACATTCAGTACTGGTTACGAATCGGGCTGCTAACCTTAAGGTCAGCAGTTCGAAACTACCAGCAGTTCCGCGGGAGAAAGATGAGGTGTTCTGCTCCCGTAAACATTTACAGCCTCGGAAACCCTGTGCAGGGTCACTATGAGTTGGAACCAACTCCACAGTACTTAACAACAACAAGACTTTCAGTACAGTATTTTAAGTGGTTAACGGAAGCGAAACCTATTGAAAATTAAAAGCATTATGATTGAGATGTTATAAAGTAACTGAAAATTAGTTTTGTGTTTGATGGTCTCTGTACCTGCATTTTGTTTAAACTACTCAAACTTTTAAAAATTTCACATCTATATATAAACTACAATTAAATCCTAATTTAATGGTACTGTAGATCAGCACAGGACTGTGAATCATAAGGTTGGCAGTTCAAACCCACCAGATGCTCCTTGGAAACCCTATACAGGGTAACTAATGAGTGTGAACCCACTAGATGATACTTAACAAGAAGTACCTTAAAATAACAGAATTTTAATATGGTGTTATAAAAAAAGCCTTTTTGGGGGGTGCAGGTTTGCGGGGTGTACCCTTTGGTTGTTTGAATGGTTATATATTCCATTCGGTGTACATCCAAAAAAAGAGAAAAAACAGAGGGAATGGAAACAAATGCTGTTGAATGACAATGCATGGTGGGGACTGAAATTATTGCAATGAAACGAAATACAATAGGATGAATGTAAAGCTGATGTTCTCCCATGTAAACTATCACTCAATTCACAATATAAACTTCAAAAAACAAACAAACCTTTAAACCCAAAAAAAGTCTTTCTATACAGAAGGACAATTATTGCAGGATCCCAAGTACGGAGGAATGGGGGGTTTAAGAGGTTTGGGGTTTCTGCTTGGGCTGATGAAAAACTTTGCAAATAGTGGTGATAATGGTTGAACAGCATGTGAATGTGTTTAATGTCACTGAATTTACACTTAAAATGGCTAAAATGATTAAATTCTTTGTTACATATATTTTACCACAATATTTTTATCTTTATGGGTTATAATTTTTCCAGATTATAACTAAAAGACATTTATAGTTTTAAATAAAGAGAAAGTTAAAATTATAATATAAAATTAATCTATAATTTTCTTCTGTTATCTTCACTAAAATAAAAATCTTTTTTAAGGATCATGAAAAATACTAATCTTCGCATCATATTAACTATTTAGAAAAAAACCAACCTTTAAAATTATGTGTGTGTATATATATATATACATATATATATACCAAAATTAATATAATTTTTCCAGTGAAAATGCTGATGTTTGTTGAGAAGTTATAGCGATTACTCCAAGTTTATTTCCCATCCCTCTCTCTTTAACCAGGATATTAAAAACAGGTTTGTTTTTGTTTTTCCTGAAAGCTTCCTTTATGCCAAGTAAAACAAGGTCAGGATTTACAATGATTTGTGCCTTACAGAAATTGGAATGCATCGTGCACACCACACAAACTCGATCAACTAGGGCAAATGAAAATGTTTTAAATATGGTAATAATTTCCTACAGAGATTTAAACTTCAAAGTCCAATTTTGTCAGGATTTGATAAATTTACAGACAAGAACGGAAATAACTCTGCACTGTGGAAACCATAACTAAATTGTTCTTATACTGCAAACTAGTAGAGCTCAGTAAACTGTAATCTCCTTGAACAACCTTTCTCTGATCTGCATTTCTACCACTGCCCATAAAAGATACTGAATAAAACATGGAACGGATTTGGTCAACCCACAAAACTGCTCCCTAAAGAATGCACAAAGTTCAGCTTATTTACAAAGTCTCCAATCATTTCAAATGACTCTTGCTTTTTTTTTTTAAAGGAGAGGAAGTCGTTTTGAAAAAAATTTCACACAGTGAAAATGGAAAAATAGATCTGTATGTTGGCATGGAGAGATGGCCTTACAAACGGTTTTAATTGAAGGGAGTTTTAGCTCTCTCTATTGTAAGGCTTGGCGGAAGGTTTTCTAGTTCAGGAATCTTATGTTTAAACGTCAGAAAGAGTAAAATGGAATTTTTTAAAATTCAGCTATTAATTCGGTATACAAAGTACTCATTCGATACGTATTAATACATAAATTTTAAAAGATCGGGAGGCAGAAATGCCAAATTTATATGCCAAATTTATAACTGTGGACACCTCTAGGGGAGGGGAGGTTTCAATGGGGACATTATTTAATGTCTTATTTAAAACACTGTAAAAAATGGGTTTACATTTACCTACAATATACTAAATACATTTAGAAAAATATAATAAACTCATTTTGGGGAAAGAACTCTAATTTCTGAAAATCTTAAAATCATATTTCCGGCCCTTGTCACATTTCAGTCTCCTTCCAAGTCGCAGTGGGAAACGGGGTGGGGACAATTTCGGGGTATCCACCGTCTTCATGTAAAAGGAACAAAGCAACCCCGCGAGACAGGAAGGAGCTTTCGGAGTCCGGAGTCCGGAGTCCGGGGTCCCGGGCCTGGGCTCAGACGAGCACATCGGGCGGGCACTCAGGTCGGGGCAGAGGGGGCGAGAAAGGGCCATGCTCGGCCACTAGAGCTGCTGCCCCCCGGCTCCCGCCCTTATCACCCGCGGGAGGAGAGCCGACTCGGGGAAGGTCTGGACTGGGCGCCCCGTCCCCTTACGACAAACCCACGCCCCTCGAACGCAGTCGGGACACAGGACGGAGGGACTCGCCCATCTGGTGGCCGCCAGGTGGACACCCGCCGGCCCGAGGGCCGGGGCGTCTCCTGGGCAACTCTCAGCGCAGCCCGACTGGGTCCGAACTCCCCCACACTCCTCCACTCGGCCGCCGGGTCTCCGGCGAGGTGGCCTTTCTCGAGCCAACAGACCTCAAGCAACATCTACAAGCGCGCGCGCCTGCCCCTCCGACTCGCGTGCCCGGCCACGACGCCCACCTGTTGGTCGCACTCGGGGCATGACTTGGTGGCCATCTTCACTTTCTTGGCTCGAGTTGCAGACATGCTCTCCTCCTTTCGCCAGCAGCAGCAGCAGCAGCAACGGCGGCAGCTTGGGCTCCTCCCCTAGTACCTCAGCCGCCCGGCCTCCGCCCGCCCCGTCGCCACTGGGCTGGACCGAGGCTGTGGCGGGTGAGCGCGTGCGCGAGCTCGCACGGCGCCTACGTGCCGAGGGGGCGGGGCGCTGCGTTTGCGGGCGACGGGTTGCTAGTGTTTCGCGCCGGCTACTCGGGATCGCGGCACACGCTACCCTGCTCGCGGACTCGCGTCTCACACGCTGCCGGCGTCGAACGCCTCCGGAGTTTCCAGAGAAGAGAATGCCTCGATCGCCCAGCGTAACAATGGCCAGCCTTTTGGTGGACCGCGGGGAGGCGTGGTTTGAGCGGGATTCTGCAGTAACGGGCATCGCGTTCAACCAACGAGTACACGGAAAGGGCGGCTGTTTTGCTAGGCACGCCCCCTGGGGTGGGGGGTGGGGGGGGACAGAAAGTGAGAGTGAAAGGGGGCGCGACTAGATAAACCGCTTAGCATAAAAACCAAACCTCCTGCTAAGGAGTGACTTCTGACTCATAACAACCCTTAGGACAGAGTAGACCTGCCCCATAGGGTTACCAAGAGTTAAATATTTAGGGAAGCCGACTGCCACTGATGGCTTGGCACTTTACCACTGCACCACGAGGGTTAACCACTTAATGCAGATCCTGTTGTTGTTGTAAAGTGCCTTCGAGTCGTTTCCGACCCATAGCGACCCTGTACAGGGTTTCCGAGGCTGTAAATCTTTACGGGAGGAGAACGCCTCATCTTTCTCCCGCGGAACAGCTGGTAGTTTCGAACTGTTGGCCTTAAGGTTTGCAGCGCGATTCGTAACCACTATGCTACGGTTTAATAAATTTCAATAAATGCTAGCAAATATAATTGCTGAGGAATTATAATAGACTTGGCTGGGTTTACATGCCAGGCCCTGGTACTGCTAGAAATAAACATTCACTGAAATTACTGAGGAGCGTGGTGAATACTATGTGGAACCTTGGGTGGCACAACTGGTTAAGCATACTAAAGACTGGAAGTTGGAACCCACCCAGAGACCTCAAAAGATAGACCTGGTGGACTGGACCACTTCCACTTCATAACCAAAGCTTTGATGTTTCTGTTGTTCATTTATTGGGTGGGAGGGGTGTGGAATAAGGAGTTAGAATTAGGACTAGGTTTAGGTTAGGCCTAGGATTTCGTTTAGTGTTAGGTTAGGACTAGGGTTAGTGTTAGCAATCGGGGCTTAGGCTAGAGCTAGGAGTAAGCCTTGTTTTTAGTTTTAGGGTTACAGATTTATTTTTACTTTTTTTTTTCTTGAAATCTGCTTGATTTCTTCTTCAATTGGAAGTTGTGTAACTACAGCAGTCCCTTTTGTGACTATGTTTTTTTGTTATTACAAACTTACCTTTGGACCCCTATTTTCAGTCTTGAAGGTTTGTTGTACTTTATATACTTAGCATATCTGGGTTGAGTTCTGGGTGATGTGTCATGCATGATAATCTCAGGTTATTGTCTGCTGTTCTTGGTTCTCTGACTAAAGAACTCCCTTTAGTATTTTTTGTTTAAGCTTGGTCTGTTTTTTTTTTATAAATTCTTTTAATTTCTGTTTCTCTGGACATGTCTGCATTTCACCATCATATTTTATGAACTATTTTGCTGGGTATATGATTTTTGGTTGGCATTTTTTTTTTCTTTTGAGTTTTATATGTCATCCCATTGTCTTCTTGTCTGCATGGTTTCTGCGAGAAATCAGAGCTTCGTCTTGTTGGTTTTCCTTTATAGGTAACTTTCTGTTTTTCCAGAGCTGTTCTCAGGATTCTTTTCTTGTCTTTGGGTTTTTTTTGTTTTTTGTTTTTTGTTTTTTAATTAAAGGTTTTTATTGTGGATTGAGTGAAAGTTTACAGGGTACATCATCAGTTTCACATTCAACAATTCATATAACTTGTTT